ATGAGGTCTCGTCAAGTTGCCCAGGTGGGTCTTGAACCCGCAGGCTCAGGCAATCCACTCGCCTCGGCCTCCCAAAGTGTTGGGATTACAGGCTGAACCACCGTGCCCTATTGTTGTTTTGAGTTGGAGTCTCACTCTGTCGCCCAGACTGGCGGGCAGGGGCACACTCCTGGCCACCGAAGCCTTGATCTGCTGGGCTCAGGTGATCCTTCCTTCCGTCTCAGCCTACCAAGTCGCTGGAACTACAAGCATGTGCCACCACGCCCGGCTAATTTTTTGATTTACTGTAGAGACGAGGTCTTGCCAAGTTTCCCAGGCTGGTCTTGAACCCCGGGGCTCAGGCAGTCCTCTCACCTCTGCTTCCCAAAGTGCTGGGATTATAGGTGTGAGCCACCGTGCCTGACCGATCACCCCCTTTAAAACAGCCCCACATGTACCATAGAACAGCAAAACACTAACCACACATCTCACCACAGAATGGTAACAAACATCTTTCACAGACTGGATGCAAGGCACATTCCAGGACAACAAAATAATTTGCTCTGGTCTTCAAAGTAGATTAGTTTTCTCCAGGTATCATGCAATGTAAAGAGAGCAAGAAAAAAATGAAGCGGGGGAGGAGAGTTTGTTTTCAGCATTTGGGACTCGGATTTGGGAAACCCTGTCACGGATCACAAAGTGCTGTTGCAAGACTCCTATACACTGTAATAAGTCCAAATGCCTATTTTACCTAAACATTTCATTTCATATAGATTTTTTTCCCCTTCTCCTTTTAGAGGCGGGATCCAGAGAAGGGGAGACGACGTCCTACCCTCCCCGTAGCAAGTCCGTCGCGGCGCCAGGGCTAGAACCTAGGTCCCCAGACCCCTGGGCCATTTGTTGTGCATGCATGCGTGCTAACTCCAGCACAAAGTCGGGATGAACCGAGTTCCTGCTTCCAAGGAGATGGCCGAGATGGCTCTCAGAGGACGAGCAGGAGCTCGCCAGACGTCTGGAGGGAGAGGAGGGCGGCGGGAAGGGCATCCGAGGCCCTGGGATTCGGAAGTTGCAAGCTGGGCCGTCGGTGTCACGTGCAGTGACAGGCCGAGGGGCGGGGGGTCACGGGCCGGGAGGTGCCGCGGCGAAGGCAGCAGGGAGCGGCCCCCCAGATCGCTGCGGCTGCGGGACGGACGGAAGTGGCC